GGGGATCGAACCGCGGTCCCTGTGCTTTGCCAAGCTTGTTTCAAGTAGGTGCTTTAGACCACTGAGCCATCTCTCCAGCCCTCCTAAATCATTCTTGTCCGATATGTTTTGTTGTTTAGTTTCTATGCTGTCTTTAGTTATTGTCTATAGTCGGAAGTTCAGATTCCTTTTCATTATCTACTCATAACTACAAGTAGGTGAGAAAAATCAACATGGCATTGTTCCATATGGGAACTCTTAGTTGTAAGACATCATGAGCTAGCATATTAGCTACATACCAGCTCTGAACAAAATATATAACTTTCCTCAACTAAGAATAAAGTGAATTTTGCTCCATAAGCTTCCTGTATGTATCTATCCATTTATTCTTTCAGAGGCTAACCTAAACATAATGCAGTTTGAGTAAAAGAAAAAATGTCCCTGCTGTTACAGAGTTTCAGTTCTAGGGGCAGATTCATGTGAAACCCACCTAAAATACTAGTGGGCAACCCTCTACAGTGTGAGCGCCCAGAGGACAGCGATTCGTCTGTTATCTATGACTATGTCTCTAGTGTTTGAGTAGCACGTGACTCATCACAGGTGCCCAATGAATATCTGTTAAATGAATGAACTAACATTAGGTATCCTAAAAACTATAGCCCCTCTCAAATTAAGAAATTAAAATTTAGAAAAGATTTAGGCTGGGGAGATAGCTCAGTAGAATAAGCACTTGCCTGGCAAGTGCAGGGTCCTAAGTTCAATCCCCAGTACTGCAAAAAAAATGGGGCCAAGGAGGTGGCTTAGTAGAATAAGTGCTTCCCTCACAAGCACAAGGGTCTGAGTTCAAGCCCCGGTTCTGGAAGAAAAAAAACAACAACAATGATTTAATGCCAGTATTCCTCAAACTGTTTTTTGTTTTTTGTTTTGCGGAACCAGGGATTGAACTCGGGCCCTTGCACTTGCCAGGCAAGCGCTTATTCTATTGAGTCATCTCCCCGGCCCCTTCAAACTTTAATGAAGTTGAAAGTGAACTCAACTTATTCATTCTTGGAAGAATGTATTACCCTGATACCAAAATCAGAGAAAGATCCACCCAAAAAAGAACACTATAAGCCAGTCCCTCTAATGAACATAGAAGCAGAAATCCTTAATAAAATACTAGCAAACAGAATACAGCAAATACTCAAGATTATATACCATGACCAAATGAGATTCATTTTAGGGATGCAGAGATGGTTTAACCTATGCAAATCAATAAATGTAATACACCATATCAACAGAGCAAGCTAAAGGCATAAAAATCACGTGATCATCTCAATAGATACATGAAAAGCATTTTACAAAGTCAAGCATTCATTCATCATAAAAGCCTTACAGAAAATTGGGATAGATGGTCTTTACCTTAATCTGACAAAAGCGGTCTATGACAAACCAAAGGCCACCATACTAAGTGGACAAAACTGAAAGCTTTAATCCTGAAATCAGAAATAAGACAAGGATGTCCACTATCCGCACTCCTGTTTAATATAGTTCTCAAAACATTAGCCAGATCAGTTGGACAAGAGAGTAATAAAAGGAATAAAATTAGGAAATTAAGAAGCTAAATTATTATTTGTGGATGATCGTACATTAAAGGCCCAAAAACTTCACTAAAAGACTTCTAGATTTAATAACCAAACTCAGTAATGTAGCTGGATGTAGTCAACACTCAAAAATCAAGGGCCAGGCATAGAGCTCATTGGCACAGTGCCTGCCTGGCAAGCACAAGGTCCTGAGTTCAATTCCTGGTACCCAAAAAAAGACAAGATTATCAAATTTTAGGGCCAGCCTGATAGCAGACTAGAGTGCCTGCTTAGAGCACAGCAGGCCCCCAGCATGCCAGTCCAGCCCTGCCCCCAGGGTGTGCTGGGACAGCCATTGAGATGGTGTGGTGGCGCATGCCTGTAATTCCATTACTTGGGAGGCTGAAAACAGGAGAATCACTACAAGTCCAGTCTACGTAGTGAGACCCTGTAGACCCTGTCCTACAAAAAAAAAAAAAAAAAAAATCTATAGCATACAAATAACAAACACACTGAGACACAAATCAGGGAAGCAACACCCTTTACAGTAGTATCCAAAATTGAAATTCTCACTAGGGTGATAGCTGGGCAGTCTAAGCACCTCCCTGGCAAGTGCAAGGACCCAGGTTTGATCCCCGGTACCACATGCCATGCCAGCCCCAGAACCCTAGGGAACATCGTGCTGTCCACTGAAACTGGGTGTGGTAGCACATGCCTGTGATCCCATCACTAGCTGGGAAAGCTGAGACAGGAGGATCACTATGAGTCCAAGCTGCATAGCAAAACCCTGTACTAGGTAGGTAGGTAGGTAGGTAGGTAGGTAGGTAGGTAGGTAG